GACATTGGCCTGCTTTCCTGGGCCAGACTTTTCCTGGTTTTGCTTCTTTGCTTCCTTAATTTATTTACAAGATTTGCATCCCCGCCCTCCATCGTCAGACATAAAAAAGATGGAACACTACCTCCTTGCTGCCTTCCGACTCTTGTGTTGTGATCCTTACAACAGCCCTGTAAAGTCACTTGCTGTAATTATTCCCCCAAGCACAAGGGAACAAGAGGCTGAGAGAATAATTGCTTGCCTGTGGCTACGCGGCGGATTCTTTACAAGAGTGAGATTTCCGTTTGGGACTCCCTAGCTCACAGCTTGTTCGAAAGCAAGGAATTGCAAGTAGATAAATAGGTACCACTTCGGTGGGAAGGTAACAGCGCCTTGGTGTTTAGTCATGCCGGCCACATGACCATGGAAACGTCTTTGGACAGCACTGGCTCTTCGGCTTGGAAACGGAGATGAGCACCGCCCCCTAGAGTCGGATTCAACTGGCTTTCGAGCAAGGGAACCTTTACCTTTACCTTTTTAGCTCACTGCTTGGTCTCCGAGCCACCACGTGTGGCTCTCTGCAAAAAAATACTGCTCTCTGTGTTGAAGTGGCTGCAGAGCCAAGCCATGCACATACTCAAGGGCCTCCCCAGAAACCCAGGGGGAAAAAAACACCCTGGTAAATTAACCCAAGGAGGGGGGAAAAAACGGATGGGGAATGAGCAGGCACCAGGAGGCATGGAAGGCACAGAGCAGCTGAGAGGGAGGGAGGTTAGCCTGAGAGCGTGTGACTGGTCCGAGGTCACCCAGCCAAGGTTCCATGGCCCAAGTGTGGATTTGAACCTGGGTCTCCCAGTTACTAGTCTGGCACTCTTAACCAAGGGGGGCAGGAGGATTTGACAAGATTTAACAAGCAGGCGAGCCAACTAAAATTGACCTGATCAGGAGCTAGTTTCAGATGGTAGAACAGTAAGCAAAGCTCCCACCCATGGATCCCCCCCCTCCCCGTTTTAGTCCCTGTGTCGTATGGATCATACAGAACTGGTAAAAAGAAACATTCCAGGTGTGGTTTCCTTCCATTGGCTTTGGTTTGCACTGTAACCCCCTCCCCCCTGCTCTTTTTCTCTCTTTGCCTTCAATCCTTCCGCAAGGCAAATCTGTTTAATTTTAATGGATTAATTTAATTGGTTGAAAGGCACATGATTGATTAACTGGGGAAAAAATTCTCTAATCAGTTGAAAACCCTAGTATGGTTTCCTTTTCTTTAAAAAACAAACCCATTGACTGTACTTTTTCATTCAGTGTCCCTTTGAGAAGCATCCCTTTGGCTTGCGAAGCAGAAATGGCAGGGGCTGCTTCTGGGGTTGGTATGTCGGGGGGGGGGGGGTCTGAATGGGAAGACAAACTCGGCCCCGGAACCTGCTTTCTGTGTCTCTCCTCAAGCGCGGGACAGGGAGTGGCTTGGACCAATGCTCCCTCTAAGCTGTGGAGTCTTGTGAGCAAAAATGCCACTTTGTAAGCTATCGGCGTTAAAGTTGTGAGCGAGTGATTCAGCCACGACATAAATCAGTTTGCTCTGGAGCCATCCTTCCCGAGCTAAGACCAAAATTTGTGAGCCGGAGGTTAAAAAACAGCTCACACTAACTCAGCTTAGAGGGAACACTGGCCTTGGACCCTGTGCTGAAACCCTCAAACCCAGCAACCCATCTCAACATGCTTGGGAGGAGAAGGCTGAGTTCCCAGGGCCAGGAAACTTGGGGCTTCAGTGATGGCACCAAAGGCAAAGGCTGCCCGGGCAAAGCCAGAGAGGCCTTCTGTTTACCTGGCTGTTGTGCCGCTGAACCCTGCCTGGCCCCGATCAACATAACCAGCCACCGTTTCCTTGTTTGGTTTCCTCTCTCTACCCACACCGAGGCTCTAAGCCGCATGACACATCTCAGCTTGGCGTTAACCTGCAATTATCTAAATGAACACTTCCTGGGCTGACTCCTCGCTTGGCTATTCGTACTGACTGCAGGCAGCTCTGAGTCACGGCGGCCTGTTGGCCAGGAATGCGGGGAGGCTGCTCGTCCTCCATTCCCCCGTGACCCGCACTGGAGGTTGGTGGTGGGACCCAACCGTTTTGAGGGGCAGACCTGCGTAAAGCCCCCCCACACACACACACCCATCGCTTTGGTTCTTAGCCAGTGGAGAGCCAGGACAGGTCCAAGGCGGCTTACCCTGCCCTCCAGGCTGGCTCCGTGTTTGTATCTTTCGGCTCCCTAGGATGGTAGAAGGAACAGCAGGAGGCTCCGTTCACATGTGTGGCTCCCTTGGTTAACATAAGAACATAGGAGATGCCAATGTTGGATCAGGCCAGTGGCCCATCCAGTCCAACACTCTGTGTCACACAGGGGCCAGAAATACCAGGTGCCATCAGGAGGTCCACCAGTGGGGCCAGGACATTAGAAGCCCTCCCACTGTTCCCCCCCCCAAGCAGTTTTGCTCCCTTCATCCAGTTGAGGGCCCCGACGTACATGGCCCGGGCTAGCCCAGTCTCGTCAGATCTTGGAGGCTAAGCAGCTTGGGATCTGGTTAGTCCTTGGATGGGAGACCAGCAAGGAAGTCCTGGGTTGTGGTCACACGCGCGAGATGGGGGGGGGGTGAGCAGAACTATTTGCGCCGTAGGAATTTGACCCGCATTTGCGCGATCACACAGTCCCTGGGAGCTGCGGGGGCAGCCCGCGACGGCGTGATCAGACGCAACCGCGGGTGAATCGGGTTGGGTTTTTCTGCCGCGTGTTTCCGGTGCGCTTCAACAGGGGATCAATGATTCACTTCTCCGCACCGAGTGTTCCCGATGCAGTGTGCGATGATGCGCATGCCGGAACAGGGGAAAAAACAACAGCATGGAGCTGGGATGGCCCGATCTGACCACCCCGATGCCATGGGAATGCGCTGGAGCGATCACATAGGGGAAAATCCATTCCTGGCCCGTAGCAATCCGTTTGCTACCGGACTTTTTACCCGGCTTCTGCGGCGGAGCAAAATGGGTTGCCGACAGGCGCGGGATGCTTGGAGATGTTCTCGTGTGATCGCGCCCTTAAAATCCGCCTGGCGTTCGCACCTGTGGCATGGCTAATTCTGCGTGTGATCGCGACCCTGGACTGGTACGCAGAGGCAGGCCGTGGCCAACCACCCCTGCTCGTCTTTTGCCTTGAAAACCCTACAGGGTCACCGTAAGCAGGTTGGGACTCGGACCAGTCACACGCTCTCAGGCTAACCTCCCTCCCAGCTGAGGCCGTCCCCGGCCAAACTGCCCAGAGGCATCCCTGCACTGTTCCGTATAGAGGGGGTTCTTGCAGCCTACTCTTCCAGGCTGGAGCTTCTCTTTGGCCTGCCCTGGATCCTGTGGCCAACCAGCACCAGACCAAGGCTGCACCTGATCAGCTGCGGCTGGACGCCGTTGTCTTCATTAGTCTCCTTGTCACAAGAGCTGGACACGGCTGACTTTCCAAGTCAAAGCCAGAAACAACAAGAAGAAGGAGGAGGAGGAGGAGGGTCGGTTTTTATACCCTGCTTTTCTCTGCGGTGGCTCAAGTGGTTAAGACGCTGAACTGCAGGCTGTGGAAGGTCGGTAGTTCAGCAGTTCGAGACCCGGGTGCCGCATGACGGAGTGAGCTCCTGTCTCTAGTTCCAGCTCCTGCCAACCTAGCAGTTCGCAAGCAAGAAATTGCAAGTAGATAAATAGATACCACTTCGGTGGGAAGGTTACAGCATTCCGTGCGCCTTGGTGTTTAGTCATGCCGGCCACATGACCACGGAAACGTCTTCGGACAGCGCTGGCTCTTCGGCTTTGAAACGGAGATGAGCACCGCAACCCTAGAGTCGGATTCGACTGGCTTTCGAGCAAGGGAACCTTTACCTTTACCTTTTTTCTCTACCCGAAGGCGTCTCAAAGTGGCTTACAGTCACCTTCCCTTCCTCTCCCCACAACAGACACCTTGTGAGGTAGGTGGGGCTGAGAGAGCTCTGAGAGAACTGTGACTGGCTCAGGGTCACCCAGCTGGCTTCCTCTGGAGGAGGAGCGGGGAATCAAACCCGGTTCTCCAGATTAGAGTCCGCCGCTCTTAACCACTCCACCAAGCTGGCTCTCTCATCCTAACCTACCTCACCCTGGCTCTCTCAGAGCTCTCTCAGCCCCCACCTACTGGGATATTTATTTTTAACTTGAAATTGTATTTAATTTGAGAGAGCCGGCATGATGTAGCGGTGAGCGTGTCGGACTAAGATTCTGGGAGAACGAGCGTCGAATCCCCACTCTGCCATAGAAGCTCGCTGGGTGACCTTGGGCCAGTCACATGCTCTCAGCCTAATCTACCTCACAGGGTCGTTGTGAGAGTAAAATGGAGGAGAGGAAGACGATGTACTGGTTTAGGTCCCCACTAGAGAGAAAGAGAAGTAAATAAAATAAAAATAAATAAAAAATATTTTATTTTTACTTTATCTTACAGAATATATCCCCTGCCTTTCTGTCCTCACAAGGGCCACCAAGAGAACAAACAAATTAAAACATACAGAATAAAAATGTGTTTTAAAACCATTAACACCCCCTCCAAAAAACACAGATCATTAAAACAATTAAAAAACCAGAGCTTAAAAACACACAAATAACATAAACAACAATTAAAACTTGAAGTGTTGTTAGGACATTTAATTTCTGCTGTAATATATATGGAAACTCCTCTTTCAGAGGCCAATAAAGTAAAGAGCTCAGAGGCCAATCCCTGCACGCCAGATGCAGGTTCTGGAGGTGGATAAACGTAAGAACATTAAGAGAAGCCATGTTGGGTCAAGCCAATGACCTGTCCGGTCCAACACTCTGTGTCACACAGTGGCCAAAGCCCAGGTGCCATCAGGAGGTCCACCAATGGGGCCAGAACTCCAGAACCCCTCCCACTGTGGCCCTCCAAGCACCAGGATTACAGAGCACCACTGCCCCAGAAAGAGGGGTCCATCTATACCTTGGGGCTAACAGCCACTAAAGGACCTCTGCTCCATGTGTTTATTCCCTCTAGTGAATTCCACGTTTTCATTACTCTTTGGGTGAAGAAGGATTTCCTTTTATCCGTTCTCAGCCTACTGCTCATTAAATTCATTGAGTGCCCATGAGTTCTTGTTCGGTGAGAAAGGGAGAAAAATACTTCTTTCTCTACCTTCTCTATCCCCTTGCATAATTTTGTAAACCTCAAACAGCCAGGGATGTCTGTCCCCATCTTGCCCTGCTTGTGAGCTTCTCTGTAGTGCCTGTCTGGCCGCTTTGGTTAGCAAGCAGGATGCTGGTCAAGGGTGACCTGAGTCTGTCCCAGCAACGCAGTTCTTGGAGTTGCTGGTGACTGAGCGCCCTGCATTGAGGGGAGCAGGAACCGAGGAGTAGGGGTCATTTCATGCAGGAGCGCACAGGAGCAGAGCTCCGGCAGTAAAGAGCTCAGTGTATAGCTCCTCCTGCCGGAAGAGAGCTTATCTGCTAATGCAATGGATCTGCAGAACCCAATCCTAAATCTAACCATCAGGAATACTAATAAGCAGGGGTCATTTCCTGCAGGAGCACACAGGAGCGGAGCTCTGGCAGTAAAAAGCCCAGGGGGTGGGCACATGCAACAAGCCCCGCCCCCTCCTCCCAGCAGCCACCAGGCCACGAGGAGCACAAGGATCTGCATGTTCCACCCCCCCCCCCCAATAGCTATGAATCCAAAACAGTCCAGTGGAGCCTGAGCGGTGGGTGTTGCCTTCTGACACACTTCCGGTGATGACAGGAGGTGTGGCATATGCAAATAAGTAATGCTAATGAGTTATGCTAATGAGCTCCTGCACCTCTTTTTATACAAAATGACCCCTGCCGAGGGGTGTTTTCTGGGAGGTTCCCCCTGTTTGCTGAAGCCTGATGTGTTCCGGGGTGTGTGTGTGGGAGACGTTAGCTTGCCCCCTAGATCTGCTAATTTATGCTAGGCAGGGGTGATGGTCACCCATGACTCTAGATGCGAGTGAGAGAGCGTTTGCGTGCTGTGAGCTGGTCTTGCCTCGACGGCTGTGCCGATCAACCCCCCCTCCCTTTGTGCCCAACAGCTGAAGCAGATGGAGTTGCAGTTGGAAGAGGAGTATGAGGAGAAGCAGAAGGTGCTGCGAGAGAAAAGGGACCTGGAAAGCAAACTGGCCGCCGTCAGTGACCAGGTACGCATGTGCATGTGCAGGAGTTGGCGAGACAGTCTGCTCTAGGCTGGGAGGGGCCGATGGGGGCAGGACGGCGGGGAGGAGCAGGCACACGGTGCCGTCTTCCAGACCCCCTTCACTCCCCCCTCACCTCCAGGTCAACCAGCGGGACTTCGAGACGGAGAAACGGCTGCGGAAGGACCTGAAGCGCACCAAGGCCCTCCTGACGGATGCTCAAGTCATGCTCGACCACCTGAAAAACAACGCACCCAGCAAACGGGAGATTGCGCAGCTTAAAAATCAGGTAGGTGGGAGTAGAAGGGGGGACAGATGCCTTGCCCGGCCGTGGTTTGTCCTCATCTGTCTGGGCACAAGTTGGCAGAAGGAAAGTGCCAGTGTGCGGAAGCCTCCTGGGCCATGACGCAGCGGGGGTCTTGTGTTGGAGCTTTCCTGGCAGGGTCTCCAACTGGCCTCCCTCCAGAGGCAGATTGAAGGAAGCCAGGTTGGGCACCCCCTGGGAGCAGTGTTGAGATCGTCCTATTGGGGTCTGGGAGGGCAGGCCTGGCCTATTGAAGTCAGTGGCGGTTGTTCAAAGGCTGCTCTCTCTTGGGGGGCTGTCCCTACAGCTGGAGGAGTCGGAATTCACGTGCGCCGCTGCAGTGAAAGCTCGCAAATCCATGGAGGTGGAGATCGAGGACCTGCACTTGCAAATCGATGACCTTTCCAAGGCCAAGGGAGCGGTAAGCACTGCCTTCTGTCTGTCTGTCTGTCTTCCCTTAAAAGGCAGAAGGGGTGTTCCACGAGGTGCTCAGAGGGCGTCTCAGGCAAGCCAAGCGACCGTCCTACCCCATGCGGGCTGGCATCTCAGCGCCCTTCAGTCTCTGCTGGTTTGCTGTGTGTTCAGTTCTTGCAACCTGGGGCTGAAGGGAGGTGGCCCTTCCGATGGCACCTGGGTTTTGGCCACTGTGTGACGCAGAGTATTGGACTGGATGGGCTATAAGAGGATGGGCAGCGAGTGTGGCAGTCAGGGTGCAAGCTCACTTCCTGCCCAGCTTTGCAATTTGATTGATAGATGTGGACACCAGTCAGGCATCTCCGTCCTGCGATCTGTGTTCTCCTCCCGCCCCCGCTACAGGCAGGCTGCCCACCTTTGACAAAAAGGACAGTGTGCATCTTGGCCCAGTCGTTTGTCATGTCAGTAAAAGAGAGAGAGAGAGAGAGAGAGAAACTCTGGGGCTTCGAGAGAGGTTTCCCGAGGGCGTCATGAGTGCTGGCCAACCAGTGCCATGCACAGCTAGCTTCTGCTCTGAATTGCGAGCTTAGCTTTTAGAATTAATCCCTGGAGAGGAAAGGGGATACGGGGGTTGAACTTGGCAAGGGGGCTTCCGAATCAGGCCCGTCTTCCCTCCTTCCAGTCTAGGCTGCCACATGCCAGGCGAGTCATGGCGAAAGTCATGTTTCCGCTTCCCACATGATCGAGGATGGCAAGTCGGGATGTTAGAGCGCCTGCCAGCCTTTGCCAGCCATCCGCAGCCAGGGAGCCCATTTTTGACTGTGGGGGTTGCAAGCTGTTTCATTGGCAGCTCCGCCTCTTCTCCGGTCCGGAGCTAAGGAAGCCTCTTGCTTCAGGCCAGGCTGGGTATCCGGAGGACACGGGCGATCCAACAGCTGACTTTTATCATGAACGAGACCAGCTATCATTAGAGCCGGGTGCCGTCCACACCTCTTCAGGGGTCTTGGGCATAGGCTTCTTCCCGGCCGGCTGCCTGAGCTACTCTAAACTTGGGGTGGGGGGACGTGTCACCCCATTTCCATTCCTCCCCCTCTTCTTTGCCAGCTGGAAGAACAGCTGAGCCGTTTGCAGCGGGAGAAGAACGAGGTGCAGAGCCGCCTGGAGGAGGACCAGGAGGACATGAACGAGCTGATGAAGAAGCACAAGGCGGCCGTGGCCCAGGCGAGTCTCTCCCCCACCTTGCTGCCTCCCGCCACCAGCGCCGTCCCCGCCTCACTCCCTCCACCCCTTCATCCCAGCATTCCATCTCGGAGCCAAGAGTTCATCTCCGAGTGTCTTAGAATTCAGGCCAAGGCATGAATTCACACAGATTAGGTCTAGGCTTGCCAAGTCCCCCCGGAGGGCGGGGAAACCCCCGCCCCAGAGGCCCGTTCCCTGCTGCTGGCGGATTGGGCCCCGGGGGGAACTTCACCCCCATGTACACGTCACCAAGAAGTGACGTGATGACGCCGGGCACGCTAGGGGTGGGGCCACGACCATCAGAGGGAAAACTCTATGGTTTTCCCTTGGACAGCCGTGGCCCCGCCCCCAGCGTGCCCGGCGGCGTCACGTCACTTCCTGGTGATGTGCATGCATCATCGTCACGTCACTTCCTGGTCACTTCCTGGTCACATCACTTCCTAAGGAGCTGGTGGGCTCAAGCCGCAAGCCGGGAGTCCCCCGCTGCGGCGATTTTTTCACTTGGCAACCCTAATGAGGTCTTACCGGCTGTTCCTGGGTGGACTGCAGACGGGATGTGCATTCTTGAATGTCCTGCAGTGTTCTTTTTTTAAAAGTCAGGGGTAAGACTAGTAGCCCCGACCTTCTCCAGGATGTGCTAGTTTTCTAGGTGTGGGGTTGTTGTTGTTTTTTTGCTTTTCCTGTAAGGGAAGCACACAGCCCAGGGGCACAGAGGCCAAAGCTCTCATTGCCCCAGGCATCTGTCGATCAGAGCTGTAAAGCAGTTCAGCCCAGGCCCAGTTCGACCACTTTCTCAACTTGCTTGCATGGATTAGGCCTAAGAGGAAGAGGAGGGGAGTGTCTTTGCAGAAGGAAGGTCAGAGCAAGGAAGTCACTTTGCCTCTTTGAGGATAGTTCTGCTGCCTGGAGTTAGCTGGGATTTTGGAACAGGGATAAAGGACAAAGCTCATGATTGGAGAAAGGCAGCTGCGGCAGGGTAGAGCATCCACGGGCCAGGTTATCATCATCATCATCATCATCATCAGAAATTTCTGGATTGCCCAATCCCTGAGTACACAAGGCTCTGGGCGATTTACAACAGTTAAAAACAACATAAAATGACATATTAAAATCAACAGTCAGTTCTAATTTAATAGTCTCCAGATGGCGTCCATAATTTAATCCGAAACCTACTCTGGGGCTGTTCTTCTATCTAGGGGGCAGGTTAGGGAGGAGGCCAAGGCAGTCAGAATGGAATAAAAGAAGGTGCCGGCCAATGCTCCCTCTAAACTGTGGAGTCTTGCGTGCAAAAATTCTACTTTGTGAGCTACTGTGGCATATTAAAGTTGTGAGCGAGCGATTTGGCTGCTGCATAGATTAGTTTGCTCTGGAGCCGTCCTTCCTGAGCTGAGACAAAAATGTGTGAGCCGGAGGCTCAAAAACTGAGCTAGCTCACACTAACTCAGTTTAGAGGGAATTCTGGTGCCAATGCTCTCTCTAAACTGTGGAGTCTTGTGGGCAAAAATTCTACTTTGTGAGTCACTGGCATATTAAAGTTGTGAGCGAACGATTTGGCTGCTGCATAAATTAGGTTGCTCTGGAGTCGTCCTTCCTGAGCGGAGGCAAAAATGTGTGAGCCGGAGGCCAAAAAACTGTGAGCTAGCTCACACTAATTCAGCTTAGAGGGAACACTGGCTGCCGGCTATGATGGAAACCGTTGCTGTCCTCAGCCAAAAGCCCGGCGGAACGTCTCTGCCTTACAGGTCCTGCAGAATTGCATTAAGTCCCGCAGGGCCCTGATGAAAGTTGGCAGAGAGATTCCACCAGGCCGGAGCCAGGGGACCAAGAAAGCCCTGCCTCTGGTCGAGGACAGCCGCCATAGCTCACACTAACTCAGTTTAGAGGGAATTCTGGTGCCAATGCTCTCTCTAAACTGTGGAGTCTTGTGGGCAAAAATTCTACTTTGTGAGCTACTGTGGCATATTAAAGTTGTGAGCGAGCGATTTGGCTGCTGCATAGATTAGTTTGCTCTGGAGCCGTCCTTCCTGAGCTGAGACAAAAATGTGTGAGCCGGAGGCCAAAAAACTGTGAGCTAGCTCACACTAATTCAGCTTAGAGGGAACACTGGCTGCCGGCTATGATGGAAACCGTTGCTGTCCTCAGCCAAAAGCCCGGCGGAACGTCTCTGCCTTACAGGTCCTGCAGAATTGCATTAAGTCCCGCAGGGCCCTGATGAAAGTTGGCAGAGAGATTCCACCAGGCCGGAGCCAGGGGACCAAGAAAGCCCTGCCTCTGGTCGAGGACAGCCGCCAATGTTCCCTCTAAGCTGTGGAGTCCTGTGAGCAAAGATTCTATTTTCTGAGCTACCGGCATTAAAGTTGTGAGCCAGCGATTTGGCTACGGCATAAATTAGTTTGCTCCGGAGCCCTCCTTCCTGAGCTAAGACAAAAATGTGTGAGCCGGAGGCTAAAGAATGGTGAGGTAGCTCACACTAACTCAGCTTAGAGGGAACACTGACAGCCGCATATCTTTAGCGCCAGGGATCACCAGTCAATTGCTCTCAGCAGAGCGTAGCGATCTCCCGGGGACATACCAGAGGAGACAGTCCCGAAGGTACATGCACAGGTCCGCCCCCTGCCCTCTGAGAAAAGAGCAGGCCTAGGAGAGGGAAGGCCAGAAAGATCCCTTTGGGCTTCAGGGTCTCCCACCGGGCAGCTGGGGGCAAACTCCACAGCCAGAATCCATCTTGCGATCGGTCACGCCTCTGGTGGGGGGTGGGGTCCGTTGGGATGCCTTGGGCCGGGCGGGCTGACCCTGGGGCTCTCTGGCTCTTTGGGCGTCGGCCAGTCCAGACAGATCTTGACTCCCTCGTGCTCTTCAGGCCTCCCGGGACCTGGCTCAGATCAACGACCTGCAGTCCCAGCTGGAAGAGGCCAACAAGGAGAAACAGGAGCTGCAGGAGAAGGTATTTCTGGGGACGGAGGGGAGGCAAGCCCCGCCCCCCAACCCTGTTGTCCTGTGCGGTGATTGGAGGGCCCCGTTCTTCCTCCCCTTTGCCAGCTGCAAGGTCTTCAGAGCCAGCTGGAGTTCCTCGAGCAGTCCATGGTGGACAAGTCGCTGGTCAGCCGGCAGGAGGCCAAGATCCGCGAGCTGGAGACACGCCTGGAGTTTGAAAGGACGCAAGTGAAGCGCCTCGAGGTAGGGAATCTCGGCACAGTCTCAGAGCGGTGGAAGGACAGCGGGCTCACTGCTGAGGTGAAGGGGGCCTCTTGGGCTTGGCTTCCAGAGACACAGCGCTTTCACCCGGGGAGGTCAAGAGCTCCTGGGCAGTCTTGGCTCGTGATGCCACATGACACTGGTCTTGCCGTGCTTTTGGGCAGCCCTCCACATGTCCTGCCGCTATCACTCGCTCTCTCAGTGCCTGGGCAAGGCTGAGCGGAGCATGCTCAGTTCCCGAGCCGTCTGCCCAGTGCTGAGTGTCACGGTGGAAGAGTCTGAGCTTTCCTTTGAAAGGGGGAACGTGTCGAGTCCTTGTGGCTGCAAAACAAAGCTTGGACAGCAGCAGGCAGCTTCTGTGGAAAGCTTAGAAACCGGGTTGGGCCGGGCTGCAATCTGTCAGAGATGGCTCTTTCAACCCCTCCAGTTTGATGTAGTGGTTAGGAGCACGGACTCCAGTCTGGGGGAACCGGGTTTGATTCCCCACTCCTCCACATACAGCTGTTGGTGTGACATTGGGTCAGTCACAAGTTCTCTCAGAGCTGTTCTATCAAGAGCAGTTCTCAAAAGAGCTCTCTCAGCCCCACCTACCTTGCAGAGTGTCTGTTGTGGGGAGGGGAAGGGAAAGGAGATTGTCCGCCGCTCTGAGACTCCTTTTGGTAGCGAAGGGCAGGGTATATAAATCCAGGTTCTTCTTCCCTTCTCCCCCCCACCCACACATTTTTTGCCTCTGGCGTTCCTTCCCAGAAGGGCCACTTGTGCCTCCCACTGATTCCAGACTCCTGGTAGCCTCCAAAGGTGGCTGTTTGTTGTGCGTCCAGGGCTGCTGGGGGCAAAGGTAGCCAAGTACCAAATAGACGTGGACCCCAGCCAGCTGGGAAGGCCACCTCCAGTGGTCAACTCATAAGAGTATCTGAAGGGCCCACAGCGGGGAGACAGAGGCCAAAGCCTCCCGCTCTCGTTGCCCCCCCCCCAGCACCTATTGTTCCGAGGTGGACTTTCTCTGAGCATGGAGGTTCTGAGTAACCAGGGCTCTTTTTGTATAAAAAGCCCAGCAGGAACTCATTAGCATAATAGGCCACACCCAACAGCAGAAACTCATTAGCATATTTGGCCACACCCCTGACAGCACAGCTCATTAGCATATTAGGCCACACCCCACGCCTTCTCTTGGCTTGCTCAGGTGCCCTGCAACTGTGGGGCACCCAGGCAAGTTGGCCCTTGGACAGGCCAGGGAAGGCATGGGGCAGCATTTAAATGCTTCCCCGATCCTTCCAGAGGGCCCACTGGCCCACCTGCCTCAGAGTCATGGGGGGGTTTTGCTCTCCAGGCCTTCCCTCTCTAGCCAGGCACACAGAGGTTTTGGCTGCAGTGGGCGTGGCCAACTCTGAAGCCAGCCGGAACGCCGTTCCTGTGCGTTCCTGCCCAAAAATAGCCCTGTGATTAACCACCACGCCTGATAGCCGTAGATGGATCCTCTCCTCATTCGTGCATACGTCCGATTGCCTCCTGAAGCTATCCAAACTGAATTGCCAAACGAATCACGCATGGCGTGAAGGAGTCCTTTCTCTGAATGCGCAGCCCAGCGTGTGACAGCGGGCCCACTTTGGGGCATTTTAAAGGAGAGGAGGGATTCGGTTGACGCACACACGGTCCCCGTCGCAGTTGGCACAATCCGTATGTGCTTTTTTTATCGGAGTGGTGCAGGGACCATGTTGTGTGATGGCACCCTCCCCTCCCCGCCCCGCCCCCATTATCTTGTGCCTCTTTCTTCTGTCTTGGTCCAGAAATCTGTCTGTTGTGAGTCACTCGTCGCCTCCCCAGACCTCTGTCGGCTCCTCTGCTGAATGCCCGAGAGCAGCGGCAAATGGGCTGAGGGCTATCCTGGACTGGGGCCGTTCATCTATCCAGAGCACAAAGGGAGGAGGCGGTCAGAGGGAGCCCCCTGCAGGGCCGGAGGACAAGAGTGGGGGGTTGAGCTATTTGGGAAAGGGAGGGGGGCACCCAAGCATCGGAGGGCTGTGGCAGGCAAGGGGGCTCCAGGGCAGGTGGGGAGTGGGTGTGCGCTTTTATGAAACGCAGATAGCCTTCTCCCTGCCAGTCCACCCCGCCGCCCTGGCCCCACCCAGCTAGGAACCCTCTCGGCCCAGCCCTGCGATGGCTGCCCGCGGGGAGGCCAGGCGCTCTCTTCTGCCGCACCTGTTAACGGCCCTGCTTTATATTCTGCCTCCGCAGCTCCCGTTTCCGGCGAGGGAGCCGAGGAGCTTTAGAGCTCCCTCTTAATATTTCCGTGCCATTATTCGTTTTCCACCCTCCTCGCCCCCCCCCCATAAATATGCAGGGGACAGCTCTCAGCTGCCGCAAAAGGATGGAATCTATTTTTCTCCCTACATTACATGCTGTAATTACTTCACACAAAGTTAAATCTATTTTTCCAATTCACCAAAGCCCCCCTGATTATTCTGCCCACGGCTGGGGACGCGGCGGGGGAAAAAATTCCCTCTCTCTCTCTCTCTCTCTCTCTCTCTCTCTCTCTCTCTCTCTCTCTCTCTCTCTCTCAACTCTGCAGCCTCCCCCCCACTCCCTCCCACCCTCCTTTGCAAGCTGGTCCACACACCCCCTCATGTAAATTCATAGTGCCGGGTTCGTTTGTTCCATTAGCGCTCGGCGGGGAGCGATTGGGCAACACTCATTCCTGGGCCCCGGCCTCGGTAATTGCCGCTGTCTGCTACCATTATGCGCAGCAGATGAATATTGATGCGCCAGCCCTGGTGCGCCACTGCCACTGTCTCCTCTTCATCCAGCTCTGCTTGGGGTGGGGGTGGGGCGTCTTAGCCCCTCGTGGAGGACAGGAAGGTCGGGCCGCGGTCAGCGTGCAGGCTCATTGATCGGCCTTCCAGCCCAGAGTCATGCCGGCCGGGCGGCCAGTCACCTTGATCTGGGGGCGCAGAAGGTCCCTCCTGGCAAAGCAGGGCAGGCTCTGAGTTACGCTGACCAGAGTCATTCCAAGCAGGAGCGGGCTTCGGATCCTGCTTCAGGGCGGATGGTGCAGCAGAGGCCCTCGCTCCGGAGAGGCATCCTGCTCTGCCCCTTGGCGGCCATGCTGTGCCTTCGCTTCCCCTCCCCAAATTGCAAGTTGGTTTTTATGCCCCGCTTTTCTCTACCCAAAGGAGTCTCGGAGCGGCTCACGATCTCCTTTCCCTCCCTCTCCCCACAGCAGACACCCTGTGAGGTAGGTGGGGCTGAGAGAGCTCTGAGAGAAATGTGACTGACCGAATGTCATCCAGCTGGCTGCATGTAAAGGAGGAGTGGGGAATCAAACCTGGTTCTCCAGATTAGAGTCCGTTGCTCTTAACCACTGCACCATGCTGGTTCTCAGGAGTAGGTTTTTATATCCAGCTTTTCTCTACCCTAAGGAGTCTCAAAGTGACTTACAATCGCCTTCTCTTCCTCTCCCCACAACAGGCATCTTGTGAGGCAGGTGGGGCTGAGAGAGCTCTGAGAGCACTAGAGATGTAAAATTTCTGGAAATTTTGAAGCTCGGAAAAAAACCCGTTTTTTCCCCAGTTTTTTTCGGGGGGAAACGGAAATTTTTGGAAAAATTGAAAAAATGCTACATTAGCACTTCTTTTGTCTTTTCTAGATTGAAAGTCATTCTGTTACTTTAGGAACATAAAATATGACTATGGACATTTTTACTTGGCATGAAATTATCACAACTAGCATATTAAAAATATAGTGTGTCCAAACAGTTATTACAAACAGAATACCCGCCCACATGCAAAAACAAAACTGAAATCTTTTTCTTTTCTCATGACAATAGCACCTCCTAAAGGAAGAAATGCATCTTGTTCTTGCATTGGAGAGTTCAGTTTGTTACCTAGGACTTGCTTGTCCTCAGTGCACAGAAATTAGATCAATCTGATACCATATATATATATTTTAGAAATGATTTGGAAAATATTTGAACACCTTGTCTTAAAATATTTTATTCATCATGTTAAAATAAAACGTTCCATAATCATTTTTTTCCCTTTTCTTTTTTCAATTTTTCCAATTTTTTTTTTGGGGGGGAAAGGCTTCAGGAAAGAAAATGGGAAAAAACCGTTTTTTTTCCTGAATTTTTCCGGTTTTTTTCTGGGCCTTCACATCTCTAGAGAGCACTGGGACTAACCCAAGGTCACCCAGCAGGCTTCATGCAGAGGAGGAATGGGGAATCAAACCTGGTTCTCCACATTAGAGGCCACCACTCTTACCTACTACACCCCTCTGGCTATCAAATTAGGAAGAATTGTTTCTTCACAATGGTGCCCAAAGGTGCTGAAAGACAGATTCATGGAGGTGAGGTCTGTCTGTGGCTACTAGCCATGGTGACTAAAGGGAGCCCCCACATTCAAAGGCAGTCAACCACAGAATATCAGTGTCAGGAGGCAACATTAGAGGAAGGCCTCAGCCTCTATAGTCTATGCCCTGTTGTTGGGCCTCCAGAAGAACTGGCTGGCCACTGTGTGAGGCAGGATGCTGGACTAGATGGACCACTGATCTGATCCAGCAGGGCTCTTCTTGGGTTCCTGTCAGGGGAAGGCCTCGGCCTCCATGCCCTGTTGCTGGCCCTCCAGAAGAACTGGCTGGCCACTGTGTGAGGCAGGATGCTGGACTAGATGGACCACTGATCTGATCCAGCAGGGCTCTTCTTAGGTTCCTGTCAGGGGAAGGCCTCGGCCTCCATGCCCTGTTGTTGGCCCTCCAGAGGAACTGGTTGGCCACTGTGTGAGGCAGGATGCTGGACTAGACGAACCACTGGTCTGGTCCAGCAGGGCTCTTCTTAGGTTCCTGTCAGGGGAAGGCCTCAGCCTCCATGCCCTGTTGTTGGCCCTCCAGAGGAACTGGTTGGCAACTGTGTGAGGCAGGATGCTGGACTAGATGGACCACTGATCTGGTCCAGCAGGGCTCTTCTTAGGTTCCTGTCAGGGGAAGGCCTCGGCCTCCATGCCCTGTTGTTGGCCCTCCAGAGGAACTGGTTGGCCACTGTGTGAGGCAGGATGCTGGACTAGACGAACCACTGGTCTGGTCCAGCAGGGCTCTTCTTAGGTTCCTGTCAGGGGAAGGCCTCGGCCTCCATGCCCTGTTGTTGGCCCTCCAGAGGAATTGGTTGGCCACTGTGTGAGGCAGGATGCTGGACTAGATAGAGCACTGGTCTGGTCCAGCAGGGCTCTATTCCTAGAGATAGAGCAAGATTGGAGGTGAAAAGTGGTCGGATGTGGAATTACAGGCATGTCAGTTTCTCCCTAAATGCCTGAGCTCCCTAATCTAAAAAAAAAAAAAAAAAAAAAAAAAGTTGCCGGAGTCCTCTTCCAAAGAAACAATGGGGTGGAGCGAAGGGGTATTCCTCTTGTATCTACATTCAGCTGCTGCCCTGCGTCAGATGATCAAAAAACCAACCAGGGAAAATACACGGTACAGAATTGCCAAAAAAACAAAAAATAACTGTGTACAGAAACGTCAAAAATATTTGTAGAATACTTTCTATATCAAGTGTCACAAAGAACTTATGATTGCAACATTATTATGACAATTACTTTCTTCAAATAACGTAAACCACGCAGTTCATGAAAACAGTCCAAAGTAATCCAAAGCAGATAGAGAGGTGCTTCAAATAAAGACCATTAGAAGGTAGACACTTTTACAACCCGATGTCTTCAGGGATCAGTTCACATCATACTTGTGTCACACAAGTATGATGTGAACTGATCCTTGAAGACATCGTGTTGTAAAAGTGTCTACCTTCTAATGGTCTTTATTTGAAGCACCTCTCTATCTGCTTTGGATTACTTTGGACTGTTTTCATGAACTGCGTGGTTTACGTTATTTGAAGAAAGTAATTGTCATAATAATGTTGCAATCATAAGTTCTTTGCGACACTTGATATAAAAAGTATTCTACAAATGTTTTTGACATTTCTGTACACGGTTACTGCTGCATCAGATGAACAGCAGCGATACAGCTCTAAGTACGCCCCTCTCCCCTGCCCCCCCAAAAAAAAACACCTTATGGGCTTAGAAGCACAAAAGAAGCAGGGAAGGGGCTCCTGCTTGAAACCTCTGTCACCCGGGACGACCACCCTGATCCACACTACTAGTTGTGCCTGTGCCCCAGTGCCACTACATCAGCACACGCTCGACACTGCTGCCCGTGTTGCCACCAGCAAATGTCGAAGGCTAAAACTGTGCCTTTTTTGTATACGCATGACTTGGGAACAACCCAGAGGGTGGTCTTGAACCAGAGACTCTCATGATCTTTGCCACCCTTGCCAGAAGACAGCACTGTTGCCTCAAGGGGGGAGGGGGTGTTTGCTACTACAGAAAAGATCAAGTGACTCCCAGGAATTCATAGAAACATAGAATGTTAGAGTTGGAAGGGACCTTGCAGGTCATCTAGTCCAACCCCCTGCACTCTGCATGAGCATAGCCGAAAGATAGCCCTACAACATACCCGTAAGATGGTCGTCCAGCCTCCGCTTGAAAACGTCCAGCGAAGGAGCATCCACCACCTCCCGAGGCAGTCTGTCCCACTGCTCGACCACTCTTACAGTTAGGAAGTTTCTCCTGATATTTAGCCGGTAACGACTCCCTTGTAATTTCCACCCATTAGATCTAGTCTTGCAATCCGGAGCAAGAGAGAATAGATCTGCTCCATCTTCTACATGACAGCCCTTCAGATATTTGAAGATTGCAATCATGTTCCCTCTAAGCCTTCTCTTTTCAAAGGTTTCCACCTCGTCCTCTGAAGCCTTGGATTGTGATCGGGCTGGAATCTGAACAGCCTGTTGTTGGACTGGAGGTCTGCTGATGTCAGAATGCCAGGCTTTCTGTGCCCACTCGCTGCTTGCCAGCACTCTGGCCTGGCAGTGACCACTGAATAAATGAAAACTGGGGCTTGCGTGGGGGGGGGGGGGGGGGGGGGGGGGTTCGTCTTTCCTGTCTTCTTGAGCTGCAGTTGGCGTGTGTCATGGACCTCTGAGCCTACAGATCACTCCCTTCCTTGCAGAGAGTGGGCTGTCTTTCCACTCGCCTCTCTCTGGATGGCGGGAGCTCACCTCCATTTCTGTGGCTCTTCGCCCCCAGGCATAAGTCAAGGCCGGGCACGGGGGCAGCCAGAGGAAGAGAACGTGTCAGTTTAGAACCAGGAGATCCAGAGTTATGACACACACACACACACACAGAGTCATCCCTGTGCTTTCAGGGTGGAGAGAACTGGGTTTGATTCCACACTCCTCCACTAATCTGGGAGAACTGGGTTTGATTCCCCACTTCTCCACTTGCACCTGCTGGTGTGACCTTGGGCAAGCTGTAGTTCTGGCTAGAGATGTGAAGGCCCGAGAAAAAACTGGAAAAATTCGGGAAAAAAACGTTTTTTCCCTGAAGCCTTTTTGTTTTTTCCCGAAAAATTGGAAAAATTGAAAAAAGAAAAAAAATTGACTATGGGACGTTTTATTTTAACATGATGAATAAAATATTTTAAGACAAAGTGTTCAAATATTTTCCAAAAATTTTCTTATATAT